AACGCCATACAGTTTATCAGGTATAATTTCAGAACAAGTTACACAGAGCTATCTTCTTGGGTCAGGCTTTAAAGTATGATGTATTTTGGCCAAAAAACCTGTACGAAAGTAAATCTAGTGTCATTTATAGGTATTTATATTTGCTACTTGTGCTAACATTTTCAAATTTAATGACATTCTATTCGACACGGAGCTGAAAAAATCTGCAGAATGTGATTTTTATCGCAAATCTTAAGTCTGTTGGTTTCTATGGCTTCGTCAGCGTTCGGCATTGAGTCTTTAAACATTTTGGCTAGTGAACAACTCAGAGGAACGTTTAGCAGCATGATTGTTACACATCTTTTAGATAACTATATACTATTGGTTTCTATGGCTTCGTCAGCGTTCGGCATTGAGTCTTTAAACATTTTGGCTAGTGAACAACTCAGAGGAACGTTTAGCAGCATGATTGTTACACATCTTTTAGATAACTATATACATAAGTGTTCAATCACTCTGGTGAATAAAGAGCAACTTGAACATCGTGAAAAAAACAACAAAAAACTCTGTAATTAAGTAAATGAGTTAATTAACGTTGATTAAAACCAGGAATTAAACTGTCACTAGTTTTTTTCATATACGAAATCATACACACAAGGAATATTTATACTTTCTTCAAACGTTGATGTTTTGATAATTTGTTACTAGAAAATGGATTGAATATGTTGACGACATATATATTCTGATCTTTCAAGTCAATGAATATATAAATGTCTAAGTTGTATGCATTATTTGCAATATCATAAAAAAAGCAGAAGTAAACTCCAGAGTTATATTAAGAAAATTCTGGAGCTTTACAGAAAATCATTACAGTCCATGTCGCCACGTCCAGCTATGCTCTAATTAACGATCATGCAGCTTGACAATAGCTCTGCAGCGTATAATTTACATATCAAAAGACTCCATCGTGAGGCTGTCATGCTCAAAACAACTCCTTACTTCTGCAGTTTTCAAAAGTCTATCTAAATTTAGAGTGAGTATTGTTACCCAGCACCTGTTTCAACAGTCCCATCATAAATAAATTCATAGGCACTGCATAGGTTGTCATGCTCAAAACAACTCCTTACTTCTGCAGTTTTCAAAAGTCTATCTAAATTTAGAGTGAGTATTGTTACCCAGCACCTGTTTCAACAGTCCCATCATAAATAAATCCATATGCACTGCATTCGGTGACTTGACTGCTATGTCTTTGTAAGGAGTAATATGAATACCTGTTTCATTATCTAGTTATTTGAGGCATGTGACGGTTGAATGAATACATCACAGAAACAGTTTGTGTACATCTTGTGTCGCTTTTACAGATGGAAATTTGTCTTAATTATTTTGCATACTGTGATATGGGCTCTTGGAATGCTTTTGCCACTGATTTTTGTGTTGATGGATTTTCAACTGTTAAAAAGTGCCGTACTTTGTTTACCACGGCTGGGGTTCGACTTGTTGCAGGTCTCGTTCTGGATACCCTAGATGCCCCAAATTGACCCATATTCCTTTGTCTTCGAATACTATTATATATAAGGGATATCATCGTCTTGGAAATTCTAAATCCTAGATCTGAACATATCTTTATGATCTGGGTGTAGAATATTTTGCGACAGAAATGGTTGTTTTATACGTTTCCAAAACTATGCATTTTCGGTGGCAATACACTGCTTACAAAACGCCAATCAGTGTCAAAATGTAGTTCTGATATAATCCGTACCAACGCGACTTTACACCTGTTTGTGTTGCCACATGACTTGCTGACTTGCACAATCAAAATCGTTTTAATATAATGTATTCAATCGTATGTACTGTGTATTTAAAGTTATCTATTTTCTCATAATATCCACAAGTAGCTTTTTTTTTTTACAGCCAAGTCGGAGGGCCGTACATTTTATATATATCAATGGTATGTCTTTATAGTATTAAACAGCCAAGTCGGAGGGCCGCACATTTTATATATATATCAATGGTATATCTTTATAGTATTAAACTGCCGAGTTGGAGGTCCACACATTTCATATCTCAATGGGTCTCACGTTTTTACACTGCTAAACCTGTCAAGTCGGAGGCCCCAAGGTTCAGGCACCCTCCGCTATTCTTAGTCGAATGGTAGGATAAACTGTCAAAGCTGATTATTTATAATTCGTACCTCAACCAGGTTCATGCTGCTTCAAAGTTCTATAAAACGTATGGTACTCTGGTAGGTCAGCGGTAAGTGTACGGACTCACAACACTCAAATATGGGATTCGATCCCTTGTTGTGGACAGAGCGCAGATAGCCTATTGTGTTGCTTTGCGCTAATACAAAAGAAAAACAAATTAAAATCTATTTTATTATGCAAAGGAATGTTCTATCATGTTTAAGACAACTAGTCATTTCATTCTTTACACTTCAAATGTTTATAAACATTTCTAGGCTTTGGTATTCATAAACATTTACAATATCATGTGATGCCCTTGGTTCTAAATTCCAAAAGTTAATGTTTTTTATAGAGAAAAAGATCAATACATTAACACACAAGGAGAGAGAAGAAGCATGAATGGATGATATAAGAAACCAATATGTTTTCGCGCGTTATCAAATTATCTAATGAGAAAAGTAAATACAGTTTATACGAAACAGCTTATGATCATAAATAATCTTTTATTTTACAAACATTTTGCTGATTTACCTATGTACATGCTTTTTATTTATTGACCTACATAATAGTATATTGGAATGCATGGAAAAGTAAATGATATTTCAAAGATATAATGTGTTGTTTTAAAACCAACTACATCCGGGCTGTTCCTAGCGATCATAATATGATGAACCAACCATCACAAAGTAGTTGATTGACATCTGATAAAGAACACAGAGATCATATAGGGTATTAGTTGAGAAAGTTAGAAGTATCACTACAAAGGACAAAAATCTACAGCAAGAATAATGACTACCTCTATTATAATCGTTATTTAAATTATGCGGTTCCTAAATTACACCAAAGATTGAAATTGATTGTACAGAACAGATTGTTAAAAAATACATGAAATATCAGCCAAATTTATTTATTTATCTATAATGTGGAATAATCGTCTATAATGAAAAAGAGGCACACATGAGAGCATAGCTAATTGGGTAGACAGCTGAAACCTTGTTTGCAGTTATTCTGTGTCCTGTATTTTTCTATTTTACGGGAGGGGAGCATATGCTCCGGACAACCCCTCTACTCCAGCAGGGCGCGTGACGGAAACACGCGGTGACCTATATATTCTCTCTTATCTTCAAAATGTTAACCATTACATCATACTTAAGTAATTCATACAAACATAACCTTTACGTTTCTACGTGTGTGCCACCAGAGTTCTAAATTTTAAATTATTTGTTTATTTTACAGATACTTAATATAAATAAGAGTAACTTTTATTTTACCTTAACTACAATATATTACATTCCACTTATATTTTATTAATATCTACTTCTTGGGCCCAAGACAGGGATACTTTTGGTAGTTAGTGACTCCCGCCAGGCTACAGAGGAATAAAATACTGTATAATTTAACAAATGTACATTTACTCTACAGATTTAAAAATCTACAATCGTCAGGTGAAAAGTTCATATAATTGATCTTTTTTTAGGACTAATTGTTTTTAACAGGTTAAATTAAAATTGATTTTAGTCTGCAATGTAATTATATTTTTTAAATCTTAATTCTTCTTGTATTACCAAGTTTGCTTAATCTATAGCATTATTTTTTATTGTGAACAAGTTCATCCTAATTCTACTTGGTGCATGTCGTAAAACACTTATGGTGTATTTCCAAACTCTGGTTAATTTATAGCATCATGTATATATTGTTAACAATTTTATCCCAATTCTTCTTGTTAAAATACTTAGGTTGTATTACTAAGTTTGTTTAATCTATAGCATTATTTTTATGTTATTAACAAGTTTACCCCCATTCTTCTTGTTATAACACATGATATAGGAATAGAATCTGAGTTTTATAAATGTAATCACAACACTTTCAATCTTGGATTAAGTATACTGCTTTTAAAACTCCTGATGTGTCTGTCGCTGAAACACCTAAGTGTTGTGTCACCTAAAACCCTGAAATGTCTGCCACCGAAACGTCAAAAAGTGTTGTGCCACCAAGATCCTGAAGCGATTCTCACTTACACTCCTGAAGTGTCTGTTACCGAAACACCTAAGTGTTTTGTCACCCAAGATCCTGAAGTGTCTTTCATCTAAACACCTGAAATGTCTGTCATCCAGATTACTGACATTAATTAATGAGAAAAACCTTACGAGTAAAGTTCAATTATATTTGTCTATTCAACATCTAGAGCTAAGCTCAAATCTATCCTTATAATGAAGGTTGTATAACTGATAACAAGTGAAACATGCACTAGCCATTCCTAATTTTAAATTATAGCCTAGATGGAAGGCAACTAGTTAATACCACCCGCCGCCGACTTTTGTCTAACCGAATAATGGGATTTGACCAGCATCCTTATAACGCACCAACAGCCCCAAAGTGATTGACGCTCCGCAGACCCATAGTCTGGCAAAGGAAAGAAAATCTCACAGAAGAATATTTTCCTTCTTCTATACACAATACATCTGATTAATTAAAAAACAACAACATAAAATGTTGTTATAAGGCATATTTGTTTGTAGAATTACCCATTATGACCAGATTGTCTTTTGGAAGTCTATGGACGGCTAGCACCCAGTAATATTTTAAAACAGTCGGGTATGAAGGAGTTGGTGTTTGAATAAAACTATGGTTTTATGTAGTTATTGCAGTTTCATGGACTGATTTAACTTGGGAAATGACGATGTGAAACCGGTTTATGTTTCCCCTTTAACACATAGTCTTAAGTTATCATAGACACCCTTTAACACATAGGCTTAAGTTATCATAGACATCCTTTAACACATAGGCTTAAGTTGTCATAGACATCCTTTAACACATAGGCTTAAGTTGTCATGTCTATGATAACTTAAGACTATGTGTTAAAGGATGTCTATGATAACTTAAGACTATGTGCTCAGGATGTCTATGATAACTTAAGCCTATGTGCTCAGGATGTCTATGATATCTTAAGCCTATGTGCTCAGGATGTCTATGATAACTTCGGACTACGTGTTGAATAAAGAATAAGAAACAGTGCAATTAAAATTCTACCACAATTTGTTTTAAATGTCATAAGAGAAGACGATAAAAGGAGATTTTTGAATTCGAAGATCTCATTAATTTTTCATTTTGCTGGTTAAGATATTACGTCCTCTTCCAATGATGGAAATTCAAAAACGAAAGCCCTAAAGGAAATGTTAATTAAAATGTAATCGTGCAAAGAAATAACTTAAAACTAGGCATCTAATGCCTGTATAAATACGCAGTTCAGTAATTAAGTATTTCTTTGTATCAAGAGATAAGGTATTTGTTGTACTTGTAGCAATAGTAATGTACTCTCAAATATTCTCCTGTTCTTTTTTACTAGGAGATTTAGGAATGGAAGAGACTTGTTGAGAGTTTTCGAGTTCATATTCCAGACCTGCTCTGAGTGCTGAATCAGTAGAAAAAGTTCGATGTGTTGGAGATTTTGACTTCGATTTTCCGTGACTGCTCTTCCTTTTGAAGGATCCGTGATGACAGCAGGTGTGTTTCGGATGTTCTGAAGGATTGGGCTCTAGGGTGAAGACATTTTCACTCTTCGAGAACGAAAGTGGGCTGTTAAGAGGCCCAGAGAAACGAGAAAAGTGTTTTAGAAGATCCGATATCTGTTCGTCTATATGGTTCATTTTATTGCTTAATTTTTGAATTTCCAGTTTGAGGTCCACTCTTAAGTTCACAAGATTTGCAACTATCTTTTGATAGTCTGTGCTTGATGTAGTACAAGTTTCATTGCTAAAATTACCATTATCACTACAACTGTCTTTGCTAACAGTGATCTGATCTTCAACATGGAGATTTCTTTGGTAACTGTTGTTAATATCATTTGATTGCCCACAGCTAGCGGAGTCCTCTTCATCTTTTCGCTTTGGTGTAGCCTGGTGCGAGTCTGGCTCACTTACCTCTTCAATCGTTTCTTGACGACCACCTAGGATCTTGGACCACTTTCCAAACCCTTTAGTTCCTGCCCCTAACGCTGATTTTGTATCTTTAACTAAGTGAAGAGAGTCGTTGTTTTTCGCTATATTCTCTCCCCGCTTCGCTAATATTTTATTTTCAAAACCAACTTTGTTCTCTTTATCATCCCCACCAGTAGTTCCTCCTTTAAACCCACCCCATTTTGAAATTTTTTCAGGTTTCCCTGCAACTTCGGTAACATTAAACACTTTCGCGGTAGCGTTGTTGCTTTTATCTCCATCAGTCTCACCTCTTTTTTCCACGTCAGGTACAGTCAGCGTCCCTATTTGATTGATACCGGAAGACTTTTCTGGACCAGTCTTTTTAAAGCGGTTAAACAACTTCCGTACTAGGTGATCCTGGGAGAGATCTTGAAGAGGTTCGTTCTTTCGTCTATCTGCCAACTCTTTTTCTCTCTTGACGTCAGAAACTTTACGAAAAATGAGCTACGGAAACAATACAAACTGTCTTTAACAGAACAATGAAGTAGGGAAACCAAAAAACTGTCTTTAGAAGAACAGTGAAGTAGGGAAACGAAAAAAATGTCTTTTGTAGAACAGTGAAGTAGGGAAACGAAACAAACTGTCTTTAGCAGAACAGTGGAGTAGGGAAACGAAACAAACTGTCTTTAGAAGAACAGCGAAGTAGGGAAAACAAAAAACTGTATTTAGAAGAACAGTGAAGTAGGGAAACCAAAAAACTGTATTTAGAAGAACAGTGAAGTAGGGAAACGGAAAAAAATGTCTTTTGTAGAACAGTGAAGTAGGGAAACGAAACAAACTGTCTTTAGCAGAACAGCGAAGTAGGGAAAAAAACGCACTGTAGCAGAACAATGTGATAGATAAATAAAACACACAGTGGCAGAACAATGAGATAGATAAACAAAACACACAGTGGGAGAATAATGTGATAGATAAACAAAACCCACAGTGGCAGAATAATGTGATAGCTAAACAAAACGCACAGTGGCAGAATAATGTGATAGCTAAACAAAACACACAGTGGCAGAATAATGAGATAAATAAACAAAACACACAGTGGCAGAATAATGTGATAGATAAACAAAACACACAGTGGCAGAATAATGTGATAGAAAATATAAACAACTTTTATAAGAACAGTGATTCATGGAAACCAAAACTACAGTGAGCTAGATAAAAAAAGGTAACCTGACATTAGCAGAAAAGTGAGCAAGATAAAGAAAACAAACTGACGTTAGCAAAACAGAGAGGCCAAGAAATCAAACAAACTACCTTTAGAACAACAGTGGCCTAGAAAAAGAATATAAGTTGCTTTTAGCAGAACAATGAGCCAAGGTAAAAAATAAATAAAATTGCTTTAGTAGACAGATGGCCAAAATAAATTGCCTGTTTCAGAACAGTGAGCTAGAAAAAAAAAACAGTATTTAGCTAGGCAAAACAAACTTCTTTTGGGGGAAGAGTTAGCTACATAAACAAAATAAACTCTCTTTATGAGAATAGAGAGCCAGATAAACAAAAAAAAAGCTTTTAGCAGAACAACCTTTAGTAGAAAAAAGAACTAAATAAACAAAATAAAGAGAATTTAGCAAAACAAGAAAAAAATATACTGTCTTTAGTAACATAACAAGATAGATAAATCAAAAAGAAAAACAGTGAATCAGGAAAAAACGAACATCCTTTAACAGAAAACAAATGCGATACATAAACAAAATAATGTGCATTTAGCAGAACAATGATCCAAGTGAAAAAAAATGCGTTTAGTAGTACAAAGAGCTAGATAAACAAAACACTATGCTTTTAGCAGAACAGTGAGTTAGATAAACAAAATTAATTGTCTTTAGCTGCACAGTGAACCAAGGAAAGAAAACAAACTGCCTTTAGAAGAAAATTGGTCTTGATAAATTATATATATTCTGCCTAACACAACAATGAGCTTGTTAGACAAAACACACTGACTTCAAGAATAATTGTCAGCTAGGTAAACAAAATAAACTGCCTTTAGCAGGACAGTAAGCAAAAGAAAGAAAACACTAGTTTTGGAGAACAGAGAGCTAGGGAAACAAAAGAAAGAAAACACTAACTTTAGAGAACAGAGAGCTAGGGAAACAAAAGAAAGAAAACACTAACTTTGGAGAACAGAGAGCTAGGGAAACAAAAGAAAGAAAACACTAACTTTGGAGAACAGAGAGCTAGGGAAACACAAGAAAGAAAACACTAACTTTGGAGAACAGAGAGCTAGGGAAACAAAAGAAAGAAAACACTAACTTTGGAGAACAGAGAGCTAGGGAAACAAACAAAATTGTCTTTTAGTAGAAGAGTGAGAAAAAAATAAATGGCTTTAGAAGAACAATTAGCCAAGGAAACAAAACAAATTATCGTTAGCATAAAATAGATTACGAAAACATTTTCTTGAGGAGATTGGAATGTGAGCAGAAAATCAGCACCTCCTAAAACTCCTCTAAATGTAAAATAAAAAACACAAATTTTATACACACAACCACGTCCTGTTGCATATATGAATTTTTAATTTGTTAAGAAAAATAGTTACACAATGGGTTATCTTTGTTGTGCCCATCACGGTATTAAAACGCGAATATTAACATTTGATGCACTCAGATTTACCGCAGAGCCACTAGGGTGTGTATGAAGTAAACCGGTGCTTTATCGTTTCCTTAATTTTTTTATATACGTGAATAATGATAAAATTAATCAAAACACGTGATTAAGACCAGAGTAATGTCACAGAAGTCAAATTCAAACATTCTGAATACATACTGTTTTAATTACAGGGATAAGTTTCCTTATGTCAGGCTTAACGCATTTCCCGTTGGTGCAAAGTTTCATCCCTTAGAATACAGTGTTATAATTCAAGTTCTCATTACAGTGTTATTTTTCCTTAAGTCACTTTCAACCAATTTCACTTTGGTGCAGAATTTCATTCCCTAGAATACGCAGTGTAATCCAAGTTTTAATTAGAGGTACTATTTTTGCTTAAGTCAGTTCCAACACGAATCGCTTTAGCGCAGTGTCATTCCCTAGAATTAGTAGTAATTCAAGCTTTCATTACAGTACTACTTTTCCTTATGCAACCCTAAATTCGTTTCACTTTGGTGCAGTTTTATTTCCTTGAATATATAATGTAGGCTTTTATTCGGAACACCCAGTCTTAAAGACATTATTCCTGTATCTCCGTTTATTGAAACAGTAAGTGCCTAGACACGTATGTATATTTATACACGTAAATTTAATTGTTTTAGCTAGTTTTTTTACAAACGAAAAGAAAAAAAATGGAATCTTTGATTAATTTTAGTTTTAGGAAATCAAAATATTCAACCTGTAAGGAGCTAGAAAATATTGTTTTCTCCAACTATATATTTGTTTTTTCAAATGAGTATCTGAATCGTTCTACAAAAATGGCACTTAAAAAAACTGAAGAATTTAACCAAGCCTATTTATTTGAATTCCCTGGGTTGTTTCAAATCTTCTGTCTTGAGTCAGAGAAAATATTTTAATATAGCAATTTGATAGCTATCTCTAGGTGATGCCCACGTCAGTTGTTGTCTAGGTAAAAGACGAAGAGCTATCTCTAGGTGATGCCCACGTCAGTTGTTGTCTAGGTAAAAGACGAAGAGCTATCTCTAGCTGATGCCCACGTCAGTTGTTGTCTAGGTAAAAGACGAAGAGCGAGAAAACTAGTGTCATCACGAACTTATCTTTGTTTGTATTGTGAACAACATAAAATTGATTCCTCTTTCCCTTTGGCCGCGAGAGAAAACGTGTCAATCGATTGATTGGACTCCAGACATATTATAAAGAATTGACGTTTTCTGCAAGAAGGTCAGTGAAACCTCTGACTATAGATAAAAAAAAAGCGCTCTATCCAAATAATTGACAAAAATCTTACATCACCTGAACTTCTGTGACAGTAAAACTGATAGGGAATACTGTCCATGCAAATGGTTCCTATTATTTGATACTGCTTTCTGCAAACGATACACTTCTAACATCTTAGTTACAGAAATTATGTCCCATTATACATTATTCGGCGTAAATCAAGGATGACGGTTTTATTTCCAGTTTTCTTGTTCTTGCAGATACCTAATTAGTCCAGAAAATATTAACTCGAGAGATAAAGACCGAATTTTGTATCTCAACATATTCATAACAAGTAAAATGGTAATTGTGTGTAAAATACGACCGACTCTTAGGGTATATGAAATTAGAGATACAGAAATTAAAAGGTTTATGGAAAGAAACAACCTTTATATCAAACTGATTCAAAGCATCTCCCGGTGACTGAACGATAAATTTGAGGGCATATAACCACAAAATTCAGAATTTGATCATTGCAGAGGGCACAGCATATATAGCCTATTTTGAAACTTTGCACTTAAACAAGCAAATTAATTGAAAGTTCTTTTGTGCATCCTATAATAGACAGTGTATAATATCTATGTAATTACTATATACACAAGGGAAATATTCTGTGTAAAAGAACTGAACAAAGCGTGATAAAAGTTTAAAACTTTGAAAAGCTCAAAAGCTTGTCCCTCTTGATGGAACTTAGTTTAAAGTTTAAACACTTACCCTGTGTCTGAGATTGTACGTAAGGACAAGATTGCGAGCAAAAGAATTGGCAAAGGCATGATAGAAGTTCAGAACTTCCAAAAGTTTGTCCCTCTTGATGGAATGTAGATCACAATAAGTCAATGCTCGGACGTTGGCACAGGACTGGCCTATTGTAGGCTCTTTCCAAAAAACATCACCGAAAACATCACTCTGTCCTGCAAATGAATAAGTAATTAGATGAAAAAGAAAGTAAAATACACCTAAGTGCTTTACTTCTTAGTAAAAGTAGAGGTTTGAATAGTCTAATACAAAGAAGATAAACTGTAAAAATAATAAAAAAGATGCACTAAAAATAAATACCATGCAGAAATATTCTTCAAATCAGTCATATTCATATGTCAATTGAACTATGGCCATACGTGTCCTAGTAGTTAGCATTCTTGGACTTTGCATCCAGCCGTCCCTAATTTAGCAGTGTAAGACTAGAAGGAAGGCAGCTAGTCATCACCACCCACCGCCAACTCTTGGGCTTCTTGTTTACCAACGAATAGTGGGATTGACTCTCACTTTA